TGCGCGAAATTCAAAACAAACAAATAATTTACTTATTTCACAAGAGAAAACTCTTAACTAAAGGGTAGATAGGATTACATGCATGGGATTTAATTCCATTAGAAATAGACGTTAATATAAAAAGATCATAGAAATAAAATATATTGTACATAAAATATATGTAAATTAAAGTATCGGATAAAATTAAGAATTATGTTTTTAAAAACTTCTGTCTTTGCTAAAGGAGAAACTCAAACTTTCTTTTTCTATTATATAAATTCAAGCCCTTTTTTCTTTTGTACAAGCATATAATGACATTTGTTCCACCCGTTTCGTGTCATACTATAAATACCATCCACATAACTCCAAGCCAGCATTGTAAAATATAAAAAAATGGAACAACTGAAAGCGAAAATCAATGACATAACATTTCTGTATAAATAAAATGTTTAGGTCAGTGGAATAGATGTACTGTCATTTTGACGTTCGACATTCATTGGTATTTTACTACTTATACAAACTAGCCTGGTAAAAAATAAGCAATCAAATATGACAAGATACCACATGTTGTCAAATATGGTAACAGTTGTTGATGGGTAGTACTCTAAAGGATTATGAACAGCCATAATAACCATCTGTTTCTGTTGTTATTGATATGATTTTACTTCACCAAGGATGGCGTAATTCCTGAGAGAACAATTCATCTACAGCCATACTAAACCACCCATAATTAACAGGCTCATAGTAGATAACAGCTATCTATTCTCCAAGGGAAGTCTCTCACTAGGAACTTATTAATTATCTATCTATTTTTAAAACAAATTTGTTTATTTTAATACTTAAATAATGATCAAGCGGTGTCAGATGATTTGCTTGTTTGAAGTGAAGCACAAAGCTACATCATGGGCTATCTGTACGCAGCCCACTACAGTATCGAAACCCAGTTTCTAATGTTGTAAAAAAGCTAGTGAATGACATACATATTAACCTAAACGATTACCAGATATATGTTTGAAAATAGTACAAATGAAACCAATTTCATTGGATACGTTAATAAAACATATTTAAATTTTAAAATAATTAAATAATTATTAGATATTTTACAAACTGTTTTAAGTGTAAAGCATACTTAAATACATTTTGGATAACGCACAAGTCAACCTACAGCTTTTAAAGCATAGTTCCTGTATATGAACTTGTCTGTCTTTTAATTACATAAACCCAGGAAACTTTGTATATACTGACCAAATCGATATCCTGCTGTCTAAACAAGGCCTTCTATTTGTTTTCAGCTTGTTGTGCCCCTGGTGGTGATAATGATAATAGCAGTCCAATCTTTCTCGTCTTTGTGTATATCATGTATTTGTCTATGTAGATCCAGTTAATATTCAATCATAAATGTTAAGCCCGATAAATGTTTTAAATCTGATTGTACAGTTTTACATGTAAATTAATATATATTTAAATAGGTTCATCTAGTTTCAAGTTACCAAACTTTATGAGAATTTTGTTAAATTTCAATTTATTTGCCTCCCCCCTATAAATACTTGGTGGAATACACTGAAAACGTGCTGATATCCATGTAGCACCTTATTTAATTGTTTGTACTAAAGGAAAATACACATACTTCAATCAAGCAGTTCAACAAGTTTCATTGATATATTCCAAGGTAATTATAAATTATCAAGACTAAAAATATATTCATTATTTTTCTATCTAAATAACTTTATTGAATTCAATTTTCTGGACTTTCACCGTTTTTCAATTATTACAAGATTATAATAAGTATGTTTTTTTAAATAATCATATACTTATTTCCTAATTAATCACTAAACTGGAATCGTTCAAAAAACAACTGTTTTTTTTTACTTGTTTTATAAGTAATTAATATTAACTTCTGATTAAATCAAACTACCTAAATAGGTCAGAGCTAAAAATATAGACCTAGTAATAACTATATGATGTATAAAATACATTAATTATAATGATTAGAATGTATTATACAATCAGTTAGGTACTTTCGTTGTTTTTAATATTTTCGGCATAATATACTTCACTTTTCCGTAAAATTAGTGTAGTTTCTTTAACACTATTAGATATAGTGTTTAACATAATTTATAATTCTTTTGTTATTATTAATGTGTTAGACTTGCAAAGAATATCTTCCACCGTAAGCTTAGTGTGTGGATTTTGGACTAACTTAAATCACATGAGCTTGCCACATGTACAGAGATATTATTGGGTTTACAACTGAAAATGTTGTTGATTGCAAGGGTACCCAAGTGATGAATCAACGCTTTCCAGTCATTATAGGTTTTAGTTTTCTTGTGTGTTTGATTATGACAGTATGTACTTCTAGTAAATTTGTCATATGGAATAACCTTCATTAATTTATAAGTTACTTTTTAGTTTTTATCCGGGAAATTAGCTTCTTCTTTAGCGGAAGTTCATGATAATTGGCTCTAGGAACTCTGTTGAACAATACCTGTTTTCTGATATATATGTGGGTACTCGACTCGCAATCTGCGGGTCGCGGGTTCGAATCCCCGTCACACCAAACATGCTCGTCCTTTCAGCCGTGGGGGCGTTATAATGTGACGGTCAATCTCACTATTCGTTGGTAAAAGAGTAGCCCAAGAGTTGGCGGTGGTTGGTGATGACTATCTGCCTTCCCTCTAGTCTTACACTGCTAAATTATGGACGGCTAGCGCAGATAGCCCTCGTGTAGCTTTGCGCGAAATTCAAAACAAACAAACAAACAAAGAATGTCTTTGCTTGATTATATTGAGTCTGTTCGTGTGTTTCAGATTTTAACACAAAGTTACACAAGATTTATTTGCGCAAGACCAATCCTAATTTCGAACTTATAGACTAGACAGAGAGCATCTAGTCAATAGCACCCACGTAAACTGGAGTGATTCTTGTCTGACCGAATAGTGAGAGTTAACTGCCATTCTTGTAGCGCACTCTGACGGACCCAAAAAGCGGAGTGCGTTTTTGCAGCAACAGGTGGCGAGCCATGAACCCTCGGATTCACGGTCGAAGCTCACTAATCACTATGTCAAGTCCGGCCCATATAGTGAGCTCTAGCATTAGGCACAATATAGCAACTAATAATAGTATATTTTCCTAAAAACCTGGCGGCAGCTATATGATATCTTAGTATTTGTGGGGAAATCAAAAAGGACAGACACCTAATCTACAAGAGAACTACGTAAAAAAACAAAAACCTTGCAATTTCCACATCAGAAAAAATCGAACCTGGAAAAACTACTACGCTGTATATTTTACCTGGTTGTTTCTATAGTAATCGGTTACGGTTAGCGTATAATTAAGTAATTAAAAAGTTGTAGGGACACGCAGACTTAGAAACAAAACTTGTGGCCGACAAAATAAAAAAGAAATACACCAAAAACTTCGTCTTGTAAGAGATTAAGATATTAGCTTGTAGCTAAATAGTTATTTCGTACGCACGAACACTGCGAAACTCTTGTTTCACAATCATACATCAAACAAAATCATGTTCTATAAACAGAATTTAGAAAGCGTTTTTCAGATGGTTAAACGGCGAAAAGTCTGAGATTATTAGGGACTGATAAATCAAAGCAGTAAAAAACATTGCCTTAAGCAAGCAAACAAAACTGACTATTTTGTAGAGCTTATTTTTCCAAGCAGTAGAACATCACGATGTTGATAGCTGTCATTTATCTTGTGGTTGTATATACTGGCCGACCACGAAGGCGGGATCCTATCTTTTACTGGCTCTTATGATAAAAAGAAGCCTGAGGCATTACAATGATTATTTTCCACTGGGATCAGAGTCGTGTAGGTGACTCTGGGGGGAGGGGAAGAGAAAATTTGTATGCAATTGTAAGAGATAACACCACAACGCGCAAGGTGCCAATAGAAATGAACTGAACTATATACGGAACTTGTCAATACCGCAATCAAAATAACTATAATTTTGTTTTTTATGATCACGCCAAGCAGTCAGGAGTGAAGATAAGGAGGGCGAGCTGTGGGGTGACACAAGCAGTTTGTGATCATTCTGTCTCAGACGTCAACATAATAATTACACTTCACATACTTAACTTAGTTCACACCACAACAATTGTTGATCTTAACGACATAAATAGCGCCAAGACCATTACTATGTCTGTCATATTCTAGTCCACCTGATGTGCTCTGATATTGGACGAAAGGCCTCGTCGGCACTGGATATAGTGAGGTTGACATATTTTAACATATTCTACTTTGCTTTTAATCATGAGGTCTTAAAATTGTTAATATGGTTTTCTCTGTGTTAATCATGTGGTCGTTTGTCCTCTCCGGGAACAAGAATAACTTGCTAGTTCGCCAATTCTTCTGAATCATAGTAAAGTTAATTCAATTAAAATTTATAACAAATGATTAGTTAAAAAATATAATTGGCGTTAGATAAATATTCAGTACTGTGTTATCACTCCTTACTGTAATTCTGATTTTTGCTGTTGTTTTATTTCTGAATTTCACGCAAAGCTACTTGAGGGCTATCTGCGATAGCTGTCCCTAATTTTGAAATGATAGACTAGAAGGTAGCTAGTCAACACCACCCACCGCCAACTTTTGGGCTACTCTTCCACCAACGAAACGTGAGATTGACCGTTACATTATAACGCCCCCGTGGCTGAAATGGCAAGCATGTTCAGTGACAGGATTAGAACTCATGACCCACGGATTGCAAGTCAAGCGCCATAACCAAGCTAGGCCTTTCTGACTTATAAGATACTTAAATAAAATTAACAATAATTATATTTCACTTACTTAATCTATTTTACACCGCAGCGTTTGTTTTTTATCCAACTGATGATATAAATAGCACATAGACCATTACGATATCTGTCGTATCCCAGCCAAAATGACGATCCCTGATATTAACGAAAGGCCTCGTCGGCACTGGATATAGCAGATATAATGTGGTTGATATATTATCACATATCTCCCTTGCCTTCTCTCGTAAGTTATTAGAATGAATAACAATTATGCAAGTATTCACGTATGGATTGGGTAAGGTGTCGTAACACATCGTGCAAAAAAAAAAAGGCGAAGTTATTATTTTCCTTGGTTCTTTTATTTGAATTGAAATCTTGTTATAATTACATTAACAGAACTGTCCTTTGTTTTTGTTGAAGCAGCATAAATCATATTTTCACATGGAAAAGAAAACACTTCTCGACACTATGTTGCCTTAAACGCATTCTCCAAATTTCAGGTCCTCATATGCGTAAAAAGATTTCACTCAACATTTAGCTGAAGGTTGTAGGTAAACATTGGAAATTTCGATGAAAGGATGTCCATTCTGAATAGTGCATATCAAGGGCATCTTTGTATTGAAATATGAAGAAAAATAATTTTTTCAAAATTTTAGCAAAAACTGAAGGCTATAGCCTTGGTATTTTCGGCGAAAATATCAATTTTTTGAAACTTGAAAAACAGTGCTTTTTTGAAGCACAATTAATAGAAGAATAACGACTAGTGTTTATTTCGGCAGAAAATTAAAAATTGAGACATTATAACATTAACGATTACGAAGAATACTGCCCATGTATTCTAGTAAATGAGGTATTATATACAACGAGACTTGACTTACAGGCTTATCGATTAAAATACCGTTTAAAGTCATCACGACATTTAAGAAGTTCATTTTTAAGTCCAGTTAAAGCTTATTAGCTATTCTTACACGCAAATAAATTTGCGTTAATGTAATTGCGTTCAGTTAATTTAAAAGCTAATAATAATAATAATAAAACTATTTCAGTCAGTGAACAACAACAACAACAAAAAAAAAACAAGAAGAAGAAACAAGGCAGTTTAATGAATAAATAAAAATAAATATTTATAAAAACGAAATAAATTCTGAACATTTTAGAAGCAGGGAATATAAACCGAACCATGATATGTTACCATATACTCTAATTATATATATTTACATGTTCATAGAACTATTTTATTGTCTCGACCTTAGTCAGCACAGATAGCCAATTGAATAGCTTTGCGCTTAACAACAACCTATACGTTAGTCTTTTTTCAAGTGATTGTTTCGTAAATAACTTGCTTTGATCCTCTTAATATGTATAACTCAATATACGATGGTAAAAGATGGTTTGTAATTGTTAATTCTTCATTGATATTATAATGGTCAGAATGCGCTGATCCCATGGGGCTAATGTCAGGAGCTGTGGAAGATTGGCAGATAAGCGCCAGCTCTATCAAATCGTCAAATGAAGCTCCTTCTTGTTCCATCCGATATGCCCGACTTTTCCAACCCACGGGTAACGCTTGGTGTGCTGGCAACAAGAGGGCTCTGGAATGGCTACAAGTTGATCTAGGGGTTCCCACGAAGGTTAGACTTGGAATAAAATGTATAAAGAAATGTAATTTAGTTTTATATTGATAGGTACACACATAAGTATTAATTTGTCTAAAAGCATTTTCCTTTCTTAAGTTGACTGTGTGATTTAGTTAACCTAAGGCAAATATTAATCTGTGTAAAATAATTTTAATTTCTTAAATTGGCTAATTATGTAGTTTAATAGTTCTGAAACACATATTACCCTTTTGTAATATGTATAAGTTGTACAACATATATGTTTAATTATATTGTTTTACATTAACATTAAACAATTACTAACTGGTTAAGTGGGCAACATATGATCTGTTGCCAGAAATCAACAGTCAATAATTGTTTTATTCTACTTCCTCTTCAGTTTTATGAAAATCTTTTTAATCAGCGGTGCAAAGTATACTTACAACTTAGTATATATCCCCCGGCCTACATGTTAATCTTAAAATGTTTTAACATTTCATTGAATATTTTAATCTCATTTTAAGAATCAATAATAGTTTAATAAGATTTGTCCGTATTATTATTATTCTAATTAGATAATGTTGCAGTATTTGAATAAATGCAATTTCAACTGGTAAGCCTATTCGTCTATACAAGTAACGTGATTAAGAAAGAGATGGGCCCATTTTGTAGACGATTATAATATTTGTACGAAAATTTAAAAATTAATCAAGAATGGAGCCACACTATTTAATTAAATTCATCACTGAAAATCGGATCTCAAAAAGGTTTATACTTTCACATGCTTACAAATTAGAATAAACGTATAAAGAACACACCTGCCTAACCTCAGCAAAAATGTTACATAGATTGCTGGCGAGATTTCCGACGTTGTCATCCCTCCGTGTATTGCAGTATATGTCGAATACTTTTACCGTTCCTTTAATTATGTGTTTAGTACTCTTATTGTCTTTTTCTGCAACTAGACTCTGCAGCTCTTCATCTGTAAATAACTGAAAGCTTATGTCAAAAGATGTGTCAATATTCGTTTTATGGGTTTCGAACAAATTGTTTGCAATTAGGCCTAAATAAATCAGCGATACCTCGTGATGCGTACTCGGCCAATTACAGCGAAGAATTCATGCTACGAGTAGACTAAGATATTTTGTACGTGTGGGACCTCTTAATTTCGTTACGTCACAGATTACCTTTTTTAAACAAGATCAATATTTACAAATATTAATTTTCCTTCTATAACGAATGACGTTATAGATTACCAGTTTGATGACTCAAGGACGTGCTGACGGAAAGGAATGGGTGAAGTCATACCTGGTGTCTCACAGCATGGATGCCTTTCATTGGTCATTCTGTCAAGACACATATGGATCCAGACAGGTAGTTTCGAGTGAAAAGATTTGTGTGAAAAAAATGTTTAAACGTAAATGTGTGTGTTTCGTCTTTGAAATTTCTTAGAAACGGAGATTTAAAACGAATAAGCCACCTTGCATGGTAAAACACTGTTTTATTATTGCTAAACAAAATTTACACGTTCCTAATGTTTACAGTTAATGTGACGAAGGCTTAATTAGCTGTTTGTTGCAAAATAAAAACAAGCAGCTTTTTTTCGACTAAAGAATATGAAAAAATACGAATAAGTAAGTTTTTAACATATAAGTACGTAAATAGATTAGAAAAGTGTGTGCACTAATAATATATAGGGTTTAGTTATCTATAAATATTTTTAAAATGTACACATGTAGCTGATTAAGAAACTGGCGCATTGCATACACTAGTTTTTGGAGTGTTTTGTGGTTAAACGATATTTTGGGTTCCCACTCTTTTTATAAATAATGTTTTTATGTGTTACACAGGTATTTGATGGAAATGTGGATTCTCATTCCATAAAACAAAGCTATCTTCGAGACCCGGTAGTTGCGCGGTTTGTACGCATTCATGTCTTGGAATGGCATGATTATCCGAGCATGCGTCTTGAAGTTGTGGGCTGTCAAGGTATGTGTCGCGGTTATGTTACGATGCAAGAGAAATACATATTTAAAAACAATTTCTTACGCAGTATAATATATTCCGAGAGTTTCAGTTTTAAAAGTAACATTATTCCGCTTTTGATAGAATTTCCAATGTTCAAAGTAAGATAATCGAACAGACGAATGTAGAAAGTATTCTTGGACACGTAGAATAACGCAAAAAACAAACAAACTCCGAGTTAGGTAAAGTATTATTAAGTACAAGTTATATAGTAGTGTATTCTGCTTTTTTTTTTAAATAAAGTTAATAAATTGTTCTCTAAGAGTTATTTCTGTGATCTCTTAATAGTCATGGTCTTTCAAACAATAGCTGGCAGTACTGTTAGGCTTAAAATTCTTAACATGAGTGTTTATTGATGCGACTGGAGAGTCTCCTGATGCCGATAGATCTAATGCATATCCTAGTTACATTTTGGGCATTCAAACTCATACAGCACTAGCGTAATTGACGTGATTTATTTTTTAAATTACAAAATGATGATAATTTTTAACCTCAAACTTCTTTTAAGACTTATTTTAACTTAGCTTGAGAATATAACAGTTTACTAAATTTCTTTACCTCGGTATCTAAGCGGTAAGACTGGGCGCTTATAACGCTAAAAATTAGGTTTCAATACACGCGGTGGGCAAAGCAAAGATTGTCCATTGTGTAGCTTTGTGCTTAACAGCAAAAACACTAAGTTTCTTAATTTTTTTTTATGTTGTGAAATAAATAGCACCCAAATAGGGTATAACCTGAAGTAGTAACTTTCTTTGAAACATCATGTGTAATATCAATCTTGGCGCATCTTTATATTAAGTCATTATGTTGACAAAATACAAAGGGAAACAATTTTTTCCAACAGTTTCATTAATGTCCTCAACTTCTTCAGGAAAAAAAAAAGTTTTGATTGCGTGAGAACATAAGACGTCTGTAATTTAAGAGTTTTACCCTATGTTTTTTAAATTTTATATTTTCAACCTGAATGACACTTATGTGCTAGTTAGGCTAATTGGTCAGAAATCCAAAGGTTCAAGTAGAATTAACCCTAAGTTAGAGCTGTTGATCAGAAGGAGAGCAAACAATCAGTACTACCCATCGCCTCCTACGGGGCTTTTCTGAACCGAATAATATAATTAACTGTTACTTTTATAATGCACCCACAGCTGAATGTTTAGAGCACGCTCAGTATTATATCGCTCTTCTTTAACACTGAAAAGTAAAATTTACAAAAAAATGAATAAAAACTAGTGAAAATAAGTTTTAGTATAGACGTTAGTGTTAAGTTTACCGCAGTTATATAACACAAGAACATCTAAAAACAAGGGTTTTTAAGAGCAACACTTCAATTAAATATTTAGTATCTATATACTGGCGAGATTTACAAACATATGTAATATTGACAATAGCCACAAAATTCATCTTAAAATGCTCAAGACAAGGTTTTTAGCTAATCTTTTCGTAGAAATTAAAACGGATATTTGCAAAATTGACTATTAAACATGAAACGAGATTTATTTGCAGCAGAATTAATTTGAAGTGTTTAAAGAACAGAAAAAAGTTATGAAAATGCCCTGTATTATTTTTAGAAAAAGGTTAGATTTTTGAATAGTGACTCTATGTCATACCTAGCAGAGTGGGACACATTATTGTCAAATCGCCTCTACTTCAAGGTATCAGTAAATTAAAACTTATCTTCAGCTGATTGTTCATTTTGAATACAGCTTTTCAAAAACTGAGTCAGAAATTTAGCAGATTATTTATGAATATGAGCGCCTTTACTGAGTATAATAGATCTAATAGGATATCACTTCTTGTTTACTTTAGTCTCTCATAAAGCACCGTAATGTTAGCCCGAAGCCGTTACCCCCCAAAAGATATCATTAAACTCACAAAATGTTTGTTTGTTTATTGTTAATGACAAAATTGCACAATGAACTACATTTGTTCTTTCCACTGCTGGGATTGAACAGCGAAGTTTAGAATTTTAAGCTTTCAGGCTTAAGACTGAGCCATCAGCAAACCGAAATCCTGGAATTAGATGTTACAGGCCTGAAGAAAGTTTCTTTGTGCGGTGAATTTTACAAAACTTTATACTTTAAACATTCAGATTTCGGATTTTCGCGCAAAGCTCCCCAAACGCTACCTGCGCATAGCTGTCCTTAATGTTGGATTGATGGGCTTGTCACTAGAGGGAAGGCAGCTTGTGAATAGCGCCCATCGCGTTTTTGCGGTAAAAATCCGCGAATAACAGACTCTCGAATTCACAGTCCAAACATGCTAACCACTAGGTCACGCCTGGCCCCCACTTGTAACCCCCGAGAAGTATAAAAATAATGAGATATAAAAATAATGCATAAAAATTAACATAGATCTAAACGATCATTTTCAAACCACGAAATGCTACTAATATACAAACACCCAGTATTGATGAAATCGGTCGCCAATTGGACAATATTCAGACCTAACACACACACACACATATAATGGTTGAACTCAGTTTGAGAAGGAAGATGCAAGCTTGTGACTCACTCACTCATAATTCAATTTCAAGAGTAGCGTTTTTCTTCTGTAGTAACGTTACCCAATTGCAAAAGATTTGAAAAGGTGTAGTTGGAATTCTCCCTGAGCGCATGGTGCAATTTTGAAAATTTTAAAAATAGGCGAATCGTCGCATGCTTTGAAATATAGTGCCTTGAATTGTGGGTTGAAATTATAGTGTCAGGTGCGCTTTATTCAGTGTAGTAGTCACTTCATCTATCATAGAATATAATGTACTGTGTTATATGACTTCCTAGCTACTCTTATATTAAACTTATGTCTTCTTTATGTACGTTCATAATGTGTTTTTACTTCTCTCTCTCTTTCATCCCCATTTAGAGTGTAACAAAGTCATCAGTAGTCCTCCAAAAGCAAAGCTGACTGCTTCCTCCTTCCGTCCATGGCACAAGCAACTCACTTGTACCCCAGAAGATGGTCATATTTATAGCCCCGGAGCCTGGTGCCCCAAGAAAAAGAACGGTATATTAGTGTAAAAGTATTTATAAAGGTCACGGGCTGTTAGATTATTTGTTCTTCAGAGAGCACATATCTTATTATGTTATTAAATTTAGTTGTTACAGATCAATAAAGGTTTCATGTAATTATATATTTATATTATACGACAGTCCTGCTTTACCACTTAGTTTTTTTTAAACATTATGTGATTTTCCGGAATTGCTTAAGTCTCACCTTGTAATGTACGATAAACATAATCTGTAAGGGTTTGTTGTGTTTGTGGTAAAACTAAATAAAGTTAAGAGGAGAAGACCGATTCTAGTTTCTAACTTGAGAGAAGTCAACTTTAGAACTCTTCTGTCTTTGTGTGTTAGATTTGATGATTCTAGTTTTCACGTTGAAACGTAATTATTTGGTAAGGAAGCCCAGCTATCTTAACAAGCCTAATTAACACACATAACGTGGAAATAAATACGTATATATATTAAAGGCAAGTGATACTGTGTATTAAGTGATTGTTTAACTTATGAAGAGATGCAACTTGACATTAGAGTTTTAATATCACTATATGTAAATCACTCTAGATCGTTACTTTTCAACTCTTGTTTGTAATCAAGCAGAAAGCTACGCAATGGGCTATCTGTGCTGTGCCCACCACGAGCATCGAAACCCGGTTTTTACCGTTATAAATCCGCAGACTTACCACCGAGCCAGAGGGTCTTTAAAATTTGCTTGTACAGCCCTGGTATCTCATACTGGAGAATAGAAACGACCCCTCGGTAAACGTAAAAGCCTTTCTTCTGTGTACTTCATATTCTATTCTTTAGTGTTTTCTGAAAACTTACTTACCGTATATGATAATTTATAGATCAATTTGCATTACTTTGTTTGTTTTTAGTTAAGGAGAAAGCTACACAATGGGCTATCTGTGCTCTGCCCACCACGGGTATCGAAACTCGGTTTCTAGCACTGTAAGTCTGCAGACATACCGCTGTGCCACGTGGGGGACTATTTGCATTAGAAACCAAACTCTGTTACTATTACAAAGTTATACTATAATGGTTTGACACATTTATTAACTTCGTAAATAGTATAATTTTTTTGAATATTTTTTTCACGTGTTTCTGCAATACTTTAACAATTTAAATATTTTTTTTTAAAGTTGTAACTGTTGGATACCCTTGGTTCATTTATTATGGTTAGCTGAAGATCTAGTATATTTTAAATTAACCTTTAATATTCTAAATCTAGGAAGGAACATATCCGCTAAATCACCGAAACTTGTACGTATACTTAATTGCAATTCCTCATCGGTTTTTGTTTTACTTTTAGAACAGAGATACTGGCGATTTTTACGATCGTTTTTATTAACCTGAATCCCCGTCCCACCAAACATGCATGCCCTTCCAGCCGTGGGGGCGTTATAATGTGACGGTCAATCCCACTCTTTGTGATTTATTGGTAAAAGAGTAGCCCAAGAGTTGGCTATGGGTGGTGATGACTAGCTGCCTTTCCCCTAGTCTTACACTGCTAAATTAGGGACGGCTAGCGCAGACAGCCCTTGTGTAGGTTTGCGCGAAGTTCGAAAAACAAATAAATAAACAGTCAACTCTAATCTATCTGGTTTTGAGCGACATCAACCTTTATACGATTTGTTTTTTCAATAGCATAAATACTTTTTTTTGCATACAATGCTCAAAAATAGTTATATATTGAATACTATATATTCCCTTTGATATGTTGTTATATTTTACAGGCAAAGGCTTCAATGGAAAATTAAGTTATATGATTTTACCCATGATCTCTAACAATATATAATTATATGATTTTACCCATGATTTCTAACAAAAAATAATTATATGATTTTACCCATGATCTCTAACAATATATAATTATATGATTTTACCCATGATCTCTAACAATATATAATTATATGATTTTACCCACGATCTCTAACAATATATAATTATATGATTTTACCCATGATCTCTAACAATATATAATTATATGATTTTGCCCATGATTTCTAACAATATATCATTATATGATTTTACCCATGATCTCTAACAATATATAATTATATGATTTTGCCCATGATTTCTAACAATATATAATTATATGATTTTACCCATGATCTCTAACAATATATGATTATATGATTTTTACCCATGACCTATAACAATATATTATTTTTATCATGAGAACTAACGTGCAAATCATTGACCAACAGTGTTTTATTTTTAAACTAATTTGAAAAATAATAATTCCGAATTGCTTTCAAAAGAACATTAATCAAGATTGAAATACAAGACAAGATTCGGTAATTTCATCTTTATGCGATACATGGGCTAAACGGCAAGGTCAAGGACCCCAAAAATTCTTACATAGCCCTCCCCAATGTTAATCTGTTGGACATGAACAACCAGTTGCATTCCCCAAGTTTTAGCCGAATAGCAGGATTGACTGTGACCTTTTATTATGGCCCACAGCTGAAAGTAAGGAGCGATTTCAACGACACATCACTGACTCAAAAATTGAACTTTCTGCTACACAGCCCGGCATACGCAACGCAACTACCTATCTTACTGGTTGAACCATGTCCATTCCAGTCTCTTGGGGGAGCTCAACATGAGAGCGTGGTTGAATACAACATTCAATATCAATGATCAAGGATTCCCCATGTAATTTTGCTCCATAAGCTGCAAAATTTCCAGCACACTAACCTTTAGGCCTCATTCGGCCCAAGACGATACAATCCCTAAGTTAAACACTGGATTACAGGATCAACATTTTCAAATAACTGTACGCATAGAATCTTCTCATAATTAAAGAATGTGTTTGTTAGTTCTTGACACCACGTATAATTAATACCTAACTCAGTACCTAATGAATACAACAAAAACCTATAAATTGTTGCTTGAAAATATCCATTGAATAAGCAAACGATTTTATCTGCTGAGATATTCCTGATAATATCAATAAAAATAATACCTGTTGTATCACAATGACAATACCCGTAAATTAGCACGTGTGGAAGTGGTAGACATAGTTGGGAATTTGAGACTAAACCTAAAATTCGCAATGAAATACACAAGTAATTTTTATATTTGTCTGGACAAATAACACGCGGTGCGTATTCTGGACACTTGCTTTATCATTAAACGCTATAACAAAACTGGACAAGACTGAACCTATGACACTTTCCAGGACAAACTGACTCTTTACACTTAAAAGCTTTCTTTTCTGACACGATTTTAACATTCAAGTCTGACACTAGACAAAGATCAAGACATATATATATAGTTTAATATATAAACAAACAAGGGAAGCTCCCCTAGTATCTACCAATCACATCAAAGTAATTACAAAATGACCACTCTAAGTGTCCATGAGAAGGATGGATCAACATAACAAAAAAAAGTGAACTTTTAAACTGCTATGGCCAACAATCTAGTAACAACAAACAGATAGTCTTAAAAATGGCGGTCACCAGGAAGACGCCATGATTCAAAGAGCTGGTTTAAAACGTTCAAGAGCTACACCTAAATTCATACAATGTAAAGTAAATATTAAAAATTACAGAAATTAAAGTTGTAAAAGAGTAAGTTTGATATTTAAAGAATATCACAACAATATGCTCGAAGACGTCTTCGCTGAAAAACGTTTTAATTGCCAACATTTTTTTCGGAGAACATATACTAGTCTTAAATGACAATTAAGAAATTATTTATTGTTTGTAGTAGTAATTTGCAACTTATTCGATATGTTTGTAAAGCTATAGAGCCACCAGTTTAAAATAACCTAGGTCGAACGCGGCCCACTGGTCAGCGTTCCGGAGTGTGGAGTTGAGGTTTTGTTGTTCTCGTCCCGTTCCCGCCGAAAACAAATCACGCTCTGCACTTTGGGGCCGCGGGTATATTAATTACATAAGTGACGGTCAAGTCCCACTTTTCGTCTCACGAGAGTTGGCGGTGGGTCGTGTTGACTGGTTGCCTTCTCTCTAGTCTGTCACTTCAAAACTAAGACTGCTAGCAGATAGCCCTGGTGTAGCTTTGCGTGAAATCCAACAAAGAAGTCAAATAATCATTGTTTTTGTTTGTTTGTTTACACCACGGTGTGCACAATCTGGTCATTTTATGCTTATGATGAGAGAAACAGTTTTGTGAATATTTCAGTTAACCAGTGGCTTCAAGTTGACCTGGGTCCTCCGACTACAATAACTGGTATAACCACGAAAGGAAGAGGAGATGGCCATCGAAAACACTGGGTAACATTTTACATGCTATCTTACAGCAACGACAGTCTAAACTGGAATTTCTACAAAGACGATAACCATCTAGATCCAAAGGTTAGTTCAAAGTTATGCTTCTTTCTGAAGTATTTTTTTATCTTTCTGTCGGCCCGGCATGACCAGGTGGTTA